AAGAGCTGAGCCCAACAATTCTCCCAGGTCTATTCACTGAGGCAGGAAGGCAGGAATTAATAATGAATGCCTTGCTTCTGGGCCCAGAGTCCTTAGCAGTTTCCATTGTCATGTAAGGGCTGCAAAAACCTTTATTCTCTCTCTCTCTCTCTCTCTCTCTCTCTCTCTCTCTCTCTCTCTCCCTCTCCCTCTCCCTCTCCCTCTCCCTCTCCCTCTCCCTCTCCTCCTCCCTCCCTCCCTGCCCCCGCCTCTATATCCTACAGGTGTCACAGTTCATTCAGATCTCTGTGACTCAACCTAGTCCTGAGAAAAGCTGAGTCCATAAAGTTTTCAAAGTAAACCAAGAATGACAGGAATAAAAAACAGACCAGACCATCCAAAGCCATCAGATACGTCCGAGACAAGCTAATCATATTTATTGATTGCTGCATTTAGTCCCAGCTGTCCATATAGTTGGTCAGGGTAAAGTGAGAGAAGTCCTGAAATTAATGCAAAATGAAAAGGAGGGCGAGCCAGAGGTCTCAGTTATCAGGCTAAATAACACTTTGGTTAAAATATGTCTAAAATTAAAAGTTAACCAAAAACCCAGATAAATAAAATGTCCAATATTTATAAACTGTTGTATAAGAGTATGAATAATGGCCTCAGATGACACAGACGCTATTTAAATTTTTAAAAAGTGTTTTATGGGTGTTTTGTCTGCTGGCATATCCATGTACTACACATGTGCCTGGGTGGCCATTGGATTCACAGGAACAATTACAGTTGGTTGTGAGCCACCATTGAGATGCTGGGAATTGAACCTGGGTCCTCTAAAATAGCAGCAAGTGCTTTTAATGCTGAACCTCTCTCCAGCTCCTGGCCTTTACTTAAAATAACTTTGTTCGTGTGTGTGTGTGTGTGTGTGTGTGTGTGTGTGTGTGTGTGTTCGCGTGCACGCACGCACGGCTGCACTCACTCTTGTGTGTATACATATGGAAGTCAGAGGTTGACCTCAGGATGGTCTCCACTGTCATCACTCTCCACCTTACTTTTTGTGACAGATTCTCTCCTGAACAACGTCTCTCAGTTTCAGCCAGACTGGCCGGCCTGTGAGTCCCTGCGACCTGCCTGTCTGTCCTCTCAGAAATGGGGTTACAGGCACATGCCACCAAGCCTGGCTTTTTACATAGGGATTGGAGATCCAAACTCAAGCTTTCCTGTCTATGAAACCATGGAACCACCTCCCCAGACTCTGTTCAATAATTTAAAATTACCATATGTTAATTGTACAAACCAGTATGTATCATGAAATTTTCATACATATGTAGAATGTACTAAACTACATTCATCCCTCATGGCCCCCTTTCTTTCCCACTCATTCCATTGGTCCTGTCTTCTCCCCAAGTAGTCTCCCTTCTACTTTAGTGTCTTTGAAACAAAATTCTACATTTTATATCGAAGAGAAAATAGACGATATTTGCGGTTAGGAGTCTGACTTCCAGTGATTAACATGATCCTCTCCCTGCAAAGGGTGCAACTCCACTCTCCATTATGGTTGAAGATTATGCCATCTTCCCTTCACCCATTTATACAGCGATGGGCACTAGGCTGGTCCCATGACTCCACTGTTGTACACAGTACCAACACAAACATGGATGTGTGGGCACTCCGGTCTCATGTGAACTTTGACTGCTTCCAGAAGCAGAATGATTAAATCATATGGAAGTTATTTCATCAACTTTTACGTTGACTTCCAGAGTAGGTGAACTAGTTTACATTCCTATAACAGTATGTGTTTCTTTTTAAAATTACTTATGAGCATTTATTTTTATGTGTATTTTGCCTGCATCTATATCTGTACGGCACCTGTGTGCAGTGCCTACAGAGGCCAGAAGAGGGTGTTGGATCCTCGGAGACTGGAGTTATCACCATGTGGATGCTGGGAACCAAACCTGGGTCTTCTGCAAACATATTAAGTGTTCTTCACTGTAAGCCATCTCTTCACTCGTTTACCCATGTTTTCGCCTGCATTTGTGTTGTTTTGACTTTTGAGACAATTTCACTGTGTAGCACAAGCTAGACTTGAACTTTCCGTCCTCCTGCCTAGGGTGCCATGCCTGGCCTATTGCTTGGTTTATAGTTTTTATTATTTTTAAGTCGTGTGTGTGCACGTGCTCAGAGGGCAGAGGTGTTGGATCCCCTGAATTGGAGTAGTAGACAGTTGTGAGGTTTTTATAAGGGTGCTGGGAACTGGACTTATGTCCTCTGGAAGAACGGTTAAGTACTCTTCACCACTGAGCCATTATCTTGCACCTTTGTCTGTTTTCTTAAGAACATCCTCGCTGGGGTGATATGGAATCTCAACGTACTTTTGATGTGCATTTCTCTGGTGGATAATTGTGGCTTTGAACACTTCTCATGACTTTATCAACCATTTATTTGGATTGCTTTTGAAAATCCCATTGAAGTTTTGATTGATTTGTTCTTTTGGCATTGAAACTTTTAGTTCCAAATATTAATTTAGACAAAGTTGACAGAAAAAATTTTTTTTTATCCTTCAGGCTCCTCACTCCAGTAATTGATTCTTTGTGGTGTAGCTTTTTTTAACTTGACGCAGTATCATATGTCAATTATGTGTCTATTTATTGTTTTTAGATAAGGTCTCACCATGTAACTCCACCTGGGCCTGGAATTTACTATGGAGACCAGACTTACCTCAGACTCAGAGATCCACCCTCCTCCTCCTCCTGAGTTCTGGGCTCAGAAGCATGCACCTGGCCTTTTAAAAAATGTTTTCATTTGTTGGCGGCCACCCCTGCAGTTGCACAAACGTGGAGGTCAGAGGACAACTTATAGGAGTCAGGTTCATCCTTTCCAATATGTGGGTCCCATGTCATCAGATTTAGTAGCAAGCACCTCCTTCCTGGCAGTTAGTTTTTGACAACTTGACACAAGCCAGAGTCATATGGGAAGAGAGAACCTCAACTCAAGAATTGCCTCCATCAGATTGTCCTGCGGGCAAGTCTGTGGAGCATTTTCTTGATTAATGATCCATGAGGGAGGGTCCAGCTCACTGTGGATGGTGCTGTCCCTCAGCAGCAGCCCTGGGTTGTGTAAACCAATGACAGGAAGCAAGCCAGTAAGCAGCCCATGGTGTTCTCTGCTTCCGTTCCTGCTTGATGTCCCATAGCAACGGGCCATGAATGAGGGGAACGCTGTTAGCTGAAATAAACTCTTGCCTTCCTGCATTGTTTACAGTCCATGGTATTTATCATGGCATTGCTCTTCTGTTCAAGGTTGCCTTTGCAGTTCAGGGTCATTTCTGCTTCCATGAGGATTTTTATAATTATTGTTCTGTCTCTGTGAAGAATGACTCAGGAATTCTGATGGGAATGCTCTGGGTCAATAGTTGTCTTGTAATGCGACTTTTTTCACAACCTTCATTCTGCCAAATGCGAAGTCTTACTTCCTTTTCTGGGTCTTTTAGAATTTTACTGTAGAGGTCTTTAACATACTGGTTAGATTTATTCTCAGGTTTGGGGATGGCTTTTCAAGACAAGCTTTTTCTGTGTATCTCCGCTGTCCTGAAACTTGCTTTGTAGGCCAGACTGGCCTTGAACTCAGAGATCCTCCTGCCTTTCCCTCCCAAGTGCTGGGATTAAAGACGTGCGTCACCACCACCTGGCCTGATTTCCTTGTTAATAGGTTAAATATTGCTATACAGGAGTCAGTGAATTTAGGACCAGGGAGATGCCTTGACTGGCAAATGCTTTACAGCAAAACCCCCTGACTTGAGTTTGAGTTCCCAAACCTGTCAGGTTCAAAGGAAACTCTAATTCCAAATTCCAAATATCCAGAAATGGGCTCACCTGAACTGTAGGAGGATTTCTGGCAGTCAGATAAAAGCCAGAATTCCTCGGGAATTTGTGAAGCCTGTTCCTCTCCACCAAAAGGAGTCCTTTCCTTATCTCTGGCATAGGACCTGTGGTCACTCACTACCCAGGGTGCTTAGTAGCCTATCAGAGCTCATGCTAGCTCCCAGGTTTCTTCAGTATCATAAGTACCTGTTATACCTTTCAAAGTCCATGCCAGCATCCTAGCTCTTCCCACCTCCCCAGCTACGCCCTCGAGCTCGCCGGCTTTAAAATACAAAGGTAATGAGACAGCAGGGCGGAGTCAGGCTGCAGGTGGATGACTTGTCAGATGGGAAAGCCAAGATGTATAATTCAGGTGCCTACCAGAGTCAGGTCTCCTACTAACGAGCTGTAGGATTTGAGGCACGCTGCTTTCTTTTTATGTGACTCGATTTTCTCCATTAAATGGGGGGACAAATGGTACTTAACTAGACACTGTCAAACAAAAGGAGTGAGCACACACAAGTCTGAGCACAGGAGCTGGGGAGAAGGTACGGCAGCTGAGATCACTTGTTGCTCTTCCAGAGAACGAGTTCAGTTCCCAGCACCCATGGCAGGTGGCTCACAACCATCTGTAACTCCAGCTCCAGATGACCCCGTGCCCTCTTCTGACATCCTCGAGCCAATGCCCATGTGTGCGCACGCACACACACATGAATGCATGTGATTAAAGAAGTAGTCTGTAGAAATCTCAGCACAGGTCCATGGCACACAGCCAGGAACTGCTCACTGGCATGATTCCAGAGGCAGCAGGGACCTGAGACCCTGGTTCCCTGTGGGTGAGGCAGTCAGCAGTGGCCCTGGAAGGCCTGCTGGGACTTCAGCATCAGATTGCTCGAGAGAGCCAAGTGGCTCAAATTCATGGGTCCCAGTAAGCTACCCTCATCTGCAATAACCAGAGGAACGGTGGGTTTTAATTCTGACTTGTAGGTGAGGCCTCCACCATCTGTTTAAAGATTCCTGTCTGGAAATATAGAGTTAAATATTTTTTTTCAAAATTAAAAAAAAAAAAGAAAGCCAAGTGGTATCTTTACTAAGGCAGTTGGCCTGCCAAAGTTTTCACCCCACACTCAAAAACTTTTCATTTAAAACTCCCATGCCACATATATTTGGAAATTTTATTCTTTTTATTGCAAATCTCTGGTAAAGGAAAAGACAGGATAGCTGATTCTCCTTTAAACTTTGGCTAGAAGAGAACTCTATTGTCTTCACTGGGTGGATGGCCTCCCAGCTACACACCGAAACACTGGGGCTTAGCCAGGGGGGTGGGGGGGGGGGCACACTGACACTGGTGACTGCCTCCCAGATGCTCTGACTAAGTTGGGAGGTTGCTCAGCATCAGTGACTCTTCAAACTCCCCGAGGGACCCCACGTGGGCAGGGTGGAGCGTTCCCGTCCCAGGTCTGCATCACACACTTAGCCAACATCTCGAGCACCTAGGTGATTCCACCAGCTGCGGCATCACCTGCATACACCACCTGCTAGGCTGGAGTTAGCTGGTGTCCCCTGTCCCCCTCTTCCCAGGCGTCATGGGTGCGCATCCTTCTCCCTCAGAGCCCCCAGAGGAGAGAGCTACTGAGGGGGTGTGGCCCTGTCCTGAGCCTTGTGTTTAATCACTCCGTGGAACACCGCTAGCCTCGCACAAAGGGGAAAACGGGCTCTCTGAACACCAGCGGCTTCTCCCAGGTGGAAAGATCTTCCTATCTAGAGATGCAAAGATACGCGGGGAAATGAAGAAATGCGCGATGGATACGTATTCCTCACATAACCTCTCATGAGTCCAAATTAAAACAGATTTGTCAAGCTACCAAGAGTGAAATATTAGGTACTTTAGCAGCGTACCTTACGTGGGTCAACAGTAAGAGCCAGTTAGAATCTCATCGTGATTTATTCTAGAAATAGAAAACGATGTTTATTTTCCTGAGTCCTTGCAAACGAGAGAAGAAAGGAAGAGACAAGGTGGCGTTCCGGGAACTTCTAAGTGCCCCTGCTCTCTCTCCTGGGGTGCCCTCACACTTCACCGGGCTGTCTTCTGTCAGCTATGACGTACTCACAGGCAAGCAAACAGCACAAGCTTAAGCCTTCAACAACTCGGTACACATGGTGATCGAAAATAAAACATCGACAAAGGTGCCAGGACACATATCTCTTCGCGGTATGATAAATGTAGCCTCAGTTTGACTCTGTCCCATACAAAAGTATGTGCAACCAATCCGTGAATGATGCCGACTGTGTCCCGTCGTGACAGTGAAAACATCGTTAGGACACTTAAAACGTACATAGGATCCCAGTTTCACATCCCAACCTGATGTGTTTACCACACTTTCTGTCTTATTGGCAATGTTTTGCTTTGTTTTGTTTTTACAGGGGACAGTACAGTGACAGGATAAAAACCAAGGCACAAATAGACAGTTACAACAAACGTCTATAAACCCTAGCACTTAGTGTCTATTTGGGGAACATTTAGGTGAATCGTAAAGTCTGAAAAATCCTCCCGTTCATTGCGATTGGTGAACAATGAACTGTGCAATAAGCATACTGCTGAGCCACCATCTCATTAGTAAATATATGGCTATTGGCTACACCGGCTGTGAATGGTTCCAAAAATAGCTTTAAATATTAAAAGCTGGTACCTCTAGATGGATATAAATATTGTGCCTTCAGGGATCTAGATAGATGTTGTAAGTTTCCACTTAATTTGCAATCTATATGGCAGTTATCAATTCTTAAAAAACTATTTTCATTATATAAATGGCAAGGTTTTTTTCCCCTCCAGTGTTAAATCTCTTCTCTCTACAAAAGACAGGTGATTTACAAGAAAATAACCCAACATTTTTTTTTAAAAAATGCATAGACAACAGTAAAACAATCCAGATGTGGACTTCAAGCTGAACTCTAATCTACCAGGATATTCTCTTAATATAAGGTGAGGAGCAATACATTATTCATTTCTTAATTTTAAAAAAAATTACCATGGCAGGTTTTTCTTTTCCAAAATAGTAGTCTTGGCTAGATCATCAAGCATTGAAAATAAATTCTTTTCATTCATAAAAGCCTTTCAAAATCTGAGGGCATAGGGCTCAACTGCACTTAGATAGGGAAATACAGTTGTAAAAATTGTACTGAAGACTTTTGAATAAAGGTGTTTTCAATAAGGTAAACGTTTAGACCCATGAGAACACGTTTCTTGGCACATGCACACCCCAGATGGGATCCAGAACGCAGCCGTGATCCGGCTGCAGAGGTGTCTGGTTCTTAGCCCCACAGGCAATCTCCTGCCAGGTCCTCGACCCAGCCCTCTTCACATGGAAGTTTCTGGCTTCTGCATCTGCTGGATCTGCTTCTGTAGCTGGTCCCTGTCCAGCTTCATCTTGGCCTCCAACACTTGCCTCAGGGATCCTATGCTTTCGTAGATGGCTGTAAACCCTTGATGGAGAGGCAAATGGGAAATGTCACAGGAGTCCACAGTTTACAGGCAGTGTCCTGCCAGAGTCTACAGCCACAGGGACAGTGGGTTCCTACAAACACTGCAACTCCAGGGGTCAATCCTGGATGGAGACCCCCATGAAAACCGCTCTTTAATGACAAAGGGGGCTATTACAATCAAGAAATAGGGCGGCTGCAGCTTGAACCACATCATCAAAGCTCACACCACTCTGACTGAGAGAAATGACATGTGATCAGATAGACAGACAGGGCAGAATGTCCATCTGTCCTGCAGCACCTTTGTCCCGGGTCAGATCATAAGGAAGTAATCGAACCCCCATGAAGAAATTTCTGCAAAACATTGCCCTGTAGTCTAAAACTACTAAATCCATGGCTTCTGCAGGTCAAAAGAGTCCCGGGCATGTAGGCCTTCAGCTTCCTTGGGACCAGACAGAACTCTACAGTGAGGTCTTCCAGCCCAGTGGCCCCAAAGGTCAGCACAGGGCCTGAGCCGAGGCTCCAGTGTTTCCAGGATCTCCTGGGGTTATGAGTGAAGGGTTCTGGTTTCTGAGGCTCCAGTCCTCATTGCAGGATCTGGCATCTAAAGGCTGTGCTCTAAGAGGTTCCTTTGGGCCTGTCACCCTAAATATGGACCCCAAATAGGAAACAGAGTTCGTTGAGAAAATTGCTGGGCTCAGTCAGGCATGGTGGCATATGCCTGAAGTTCAGTACTTGGAAAACTAAGGCAAGACTATGAGTTTGAGGCCAGCCTGATTTTTTTGTTTGTTTGTTTTTTGGTTTTTGGTTTTGGTTTTGGTTTTGTTTTTTGAGACAGGGTTTCTCTATGTAACAGCCTTGAGTGTCCTGGAACTCGCTTTGTAGACCAGGCTGGACTTGAACTCATAGAGGTCCTCCTGCCTCTTTCTGCCTCTGTGCTGGTTCCCACATTCTAGACTCCATCTTAGAAACAAAACAACAGCACAGAGGAATTGACCCAGATACACGATACTAAGTAAATGGGTATAAGAGCTAACGACTATGTGTGATCCGAGATTCGGATTTCAGTGGTGTAGAGAGCTGGAGATGTGGCTCAGTGGGTAAAGTGCTCACCTAGCAAGCACAGAGGCCAGGGCTCCACCCTAATAAAGCACCACATAAAATGGGCTTGGTAGTGTATACTTGTGATACATGCACTCAGATGCTGGGGGCAGAAGAAGGATCATAAGTTCAAGGTTATCCTCAGCAACCTAGAGAGTTTGAGGCCAACCTGGACCAAAGACCTCATTGAAAGAAAGAAAAGAAATGGAAAAAAGGAAGGGAGGGAGGGAGGGAGGGAGGGAGGGAGGGAGGGAGGGAGGGAAAAGGGAGGGAGGGAAACATAAGAAACAGGGTTGAGCATCACTCATCAGAAAGCACAGCTACAGGTCACTGAAGTGTCAGCCAACACTTGCAGGAAGGCTATGAGAGGCAGGAGACCAACCAGGGCTGAGAATATGGAGAGCAGAATCCCATAGACAGTGGTGGGAATTAAACACAGTGTAGCCAAGGCCCAGTGCAGGCTTATGCCTTTAATCCCAGCACCTGGGAGGCAGAATTCTCGGCCAGCCTGGTCTATAAAGTGAGTTCGAGGCCAGTCAAGGCTGTATACATACATACATACATACATACATACTACATACATACATACTACATACATTTTTAAAAAGTCATAGCTTGAGTGGAAAACAGTAGAGAGACCCCTAAAGACATTAAAAGCAGAGCTATCCTATGACCCAGCAATGTCACTACTAGACACACATGGATAAGAAAAACTACCACCTAATAAAGAGTTTCTCACGCTGATGTTCCACACCCCCGCCCCCTCCTTTGTTAGTGTTTTCAAGACTTCCCTGACTGTCCTGGAACTTTCTTTATAGACCAGGCTGGCCTCGAACTCACAGAGATCCTCCTGCCTCTATTTCTGCCTCTGTGCTGGGATTATAGGCATAAGCCACCACACCCAGCCTACCATTATTTATTTGTTTGTTTGTTTGTTTGTTTGTTTGTTTTTGAGGTGAGGGGGTCTCACTGTGTAACTGCTGAGCCAGCCCTCCAGCCCTGGCCCTCTGATGTTTATTGCAGTATTACTCCCAATGACTGAGACACAGAGGCAACCTAAAGTGTCTGTCAAGAGATGCGAACAGACAAAGACAGTGTGGTGTGTGCATATGCCATCAAAATTACTCAGGCTTACAAAAGAGCAGATCCTGCTGTTTGCCACAGCATGGCTGAGACTAGAGAACACTATGCTAAATGAAGGAAGACACACACAGAAAGATGTTGCACGGTTTCATAGATCATCCACAAGGAAAAGAAATTAAATATATAAAAACAGAATAAAATGGCAGATACCAGGGGCATAGTGTGGAAGACAGGGGAGTAAGAAGACTCAGGTCTTAGGGTAAAAACATAAAATACATAAAATGAACAAGTCTACAGATCTAATACATATTGTGAGGAAAATTCAATATATTGCCTGGGGATTTTGCTGAAAGAGTTGACTCAAGGTACACATATACACACACACTCACACACACACACACACCCTACACATATACATACATACACAATATATATACACATACATTTACACACACACACATATATAGCACACACAAACACACATATATCCCTTCCATGTGAGATGATGGGTAGATTTTCATGAACACAGTAACCATTTTTTTTTTATGGTTTATTTAACCTGTATTGGTGTGAAGGTGTCAGATCCCCTGGAACTGGATCTTCAGACAGTTGTGAGCTGCCATGTAGGTGCTGGGAATTGAACCCGGGTCCTTTGGAAGAGCAGTCAGTGCTCTTAACCACTGAGCCATCTCTCCAGCCCCACACAGTAACCATTTTCTTACATATATCAAAACATAAACTTTAAGTATACAAATAAACTTTTTTATTTATAAAACATTTGAGGACTGAAGAGATGTATCAGTGGTTGTGCTGGCTAGTTTTATGTCAACTTGACACAAGATAGAGTCATCAGAGTGGGGGGACCCTCAACAGAGAAAATCCCTCAATGACTCTGGGCTGTGGGCAAGCCTGTAGGAATCTCCTTAATTAGTGATTGAGGAGGGAGGGCCCAGCCGTTACAGGCAGTGCCACCCCTGGGCTGGCGGTCCTGGGTTCTGTAGGAGGGCAGGTTGAGGAAGCCATGAGGAGCAAGTCAGTAAGCAGCACCCCTCCAAGGTCTCTGCATCAATTCTTGACTCCAGGTTCCTGCCCTGCTTGGGTTGCTGTCCTGACTCCATTCAGTGATGAACAGTGATGTGGACGTGTTAATCAAATGAACCCTTTCCTCCCCGAGTTGCTTTGGGTCATGGTGTTTCATCACAGCAATAGTGACCCTCACGAGGACAGTGAGTGAGCACACTGTACTGCTCTATTGGAGGACTGGAGTTCAGATCCCCACACCTGTATCAAGTGGCTCACAAGGGCCTGTTGTTCCTGCTTCTAGAGATCTAGCACATCCCTTCTGGCCTCCGTGGGTACACATACACATACACACACACACACACACACACACACACACACACAGAGAGAGAGAGAGAGAGAGAGAGAGAGAGAGAGAGAGAAGACAATAGGTCTTTTAAAAGAAATTTAGATTAGGAAAAAAAGACTTAAGAGGTGGGAGCGAGGGGGCTGGAGAGATGGCTCAGCGGTTAAGAGCATTGCCTGCTCTTCCAAAGGTCCTGAGTTAAATTCCCGGCAACCACATGGTGTCTCACAACCATCTGTAATGAGGTCTGGTGCCCTCTTCTGGTCTGCAGACAGAATATTGTATACATAATAAGTAAATAAATAAATATTTTTTAAAAAAAAAAGAGGTGGGAGCGAAAGACTCCATGCTCACGTGACAGCGGTGCAGAAGAAGCCCTCAATCGCACCCCGCATTGATCTTGGCCATGAACAGAAAGAGATCAGTAGGTGGCACTAAAGAAAATGCCCATCATAAGCAGGTTAAGCATTCTGTTTGCCTGTGTCTCGTGGAGATGCTTCATAGACCTGCAACTGAACTAGTACTTTGGGTCTGGGAGATTAGCTCCCTGGCAGAGGGCTTGCCTAGCAACTGTGAGGTGCTAAGTTCAATTCTCAGTACTACAATAAGTAAATAAATAAATTAGCTAGCATCTTCATTCAAAACTGCATAGACACTTAAAATAGAAAGTAAAGACGTTTCGCTGGGTTGTTTCTCTAGCAAGCTCAGTCTGTTTCAGGGGAAATCTCAGTGAATAGCTTTTTAGCTAATGAGGCCACACGAGCGGTGTGGGGTTTGGCCTACCAGCGTTCACCTCCGCTTTCATTTCCTTCATGTCCTCGCTCATCTGTAACTCCAGTTTGCTGATCCGCCCGTGCACCTTCTCCTCTTCCGGCTTCGTTCTCGGTCCCTCCACGTTCTTCTTCTGGCTCTCTTCGATTTTGTCAAGCCTGGCTGACATCTGGCTGAGCTTTCTCTCCATGTCTCTTTCACTGGCTCCCTGAGGTCATGACAAGAATTATACTTGGTTATTGCAAAAGAAGAGCATATGTCTTGTTTCACATGGGTCATAGCGCTTAACCATCTGCAGGGACCAGGACCACAATGGTGTCTCATTGTCCATCCTGTATCCAGTCGCAAAGGTCACCCAGAGTAAAAATCTACGTTTCCTTCTGTCTCCTGAGTTTGGTGTGGCCATGAGATCTAGCCAATGAAGTATAAGAACAAGTGCATGTAACTGCCTCCAGAAAAAGTTAGAGTACACTTGCTGTAGATCCTTAATTCTTCCCTTTTACCATTCAGTCAATGGCTGGAACTCTTCTAGCCACTCAGAATCGTGGGGACAAGCGCTGCTCTCTGAGCCTGGCAGAAAGCTAACCTAAAAGGATTCTGGATCACTGAAGACTGACAAGCCCACACCTCAGGTTTGTCCTGAAAAAGGCACACCTGGATTTGTTTTACATGAGAGAGAAATAAGTTTCCATCTTAACGAATTCCCCATTATCATGGAGTTGACTGTTAGCTTAAGCCAATGGGAAAATCCAACAGTAAACCACAGACTCAGCACTCCACAACTGCGTCAGGATGCATCCAGGCACAACAATGAGTAGATCTGAGAAAAGCAGGGGACGCGTCAAGGAAACGATGTGGAATGCTGACTACTTCCTTGTCTTTGCAGTCCACTATACTACATTTTGTGAAACTCTGCATCCAGAGGCTTTAGGGACACCAAGCTCTCGTCGGGGGTGACATGACAACACTCCTGTGTGGCTCTGGTGGAAAGCTCAATGAATGCTCCGCACCTGGAGCAAGCAGTCAGCCGGGCAAACCAACGCACCAGTCACTTCTGCTCAGGCAAAACCCCATGGGAGGAAGCTGGGAGAGAAAAGAGAACCCAGCACAATTTGCCTGTCTAGCACCAGTTCCCTAAACCTGCTGGTTTTAAATGCACGGCTTTTTGAAGATTTTTTTTTTGGCAGTTCTGCAAACCTTAGCTCTTTGAGAGAGGGGGACGGAGGCAGAAGAAGATGGAAAGAAAATGGTGAACTCTGATCTGCTGCCCTGGGAGAGGAAAGGCACACTGTCGTTATAGCGCATTGGAGGGACCTGGAGGGACAGAGAGCCACTCAACCCTGGTGAAAGCAAGAAGTAGGTCACAACATAAATAAGCAAAAACCAGAAAAACAGGATCAAGTAGGTGACTAATAGTCTTATTTAGAAATGTGTGATAGACAATTGGGTGCATTAAAGTCGTGACTTAAAAAACATTAACTGAAATGTTCAGTTTGCCCTTTGCTAACCAACATCAATCAAAGCACTCCGTGTCTTTATGAAGAATATAAAAAACAGGGAATAGAGGGGGTGCTTGGCTGGGGGCTTTGGCTGGGTGATAAAGTTCAAGATTAGCAGATATGATGGCTAGTACTAATTTGTTAATTTAACAGAATCTAGAATCGACTGGGAGTCAGGCCTCTGCGTGTGCCTGTGGGGGGTTATTTTGATTTGCTTGAGGTGGGAAGAACCAACCCTTGTGGGTGGCACCATCCCCTGGATAGGACCCCAAACTGTGTAAGTGGGAAGAGAGCTGAGCAGTGACCTTTCGTCCCCCCCCCCTGCTTCCTGTAGTGGAGGCAACATGACCAGCTGTGTTGCATCCCTTCCACCTTGACCCCCTCATCATCCCAAAGTGGACCCTTGACCTGTGGAGCCGAATAAATTTCTTCTCCCTTAAGATGTTTTTGCAGAGTATTTTCTCATAGCAACAGGAAAAGAAAATAAGATAGCAGGTATGAGAATCGAGGTTTGAACCCCAGAACGAAGGAAGGAAGAGAAACAGAACGGGAAAAAAAGAAAAAGAAAAAAAAGAAAGAAACAGAACAGGATGGGAGAGGAAGAAGGGAAAGAAGGTGGGGAGGAACGTGGAAATTACTCAAAGGCAGGAATGCTTGAGCAGCTTCGGGTAGTGCCAAGTGAATGTGTCCTGAGTCCTTAGGTGCTAGTGAGACACTGCAGGCCCCCACTCAGTATTTATTATTCAAAAATATTAATACCTACACTGTTTTCCTTAACAATCAAGGAAAGATGTTCGATTTTCTGTAAAAGTTCTTTCTCTATCCGTTCTTGTTCTTGTTGCAGCCAACTCCGGGCAGATAAAATCTGGTTGCTGAGCTCCTCGACTGTACCTTTAAATCTAAAACAGAAATAAAAGAAAGGAAAGAAAAGGCATGTAAAGAAGTTGGATGTAAACAGTTTTGAGTATGAGAATGGCATTACCTTCTTTTAGAACTATGTGCCACATGGAGCGAGTGGAGGATGGAAACATACAACAGAAACTCACCTGATGGTGCTCCTACCCATGATGGTGCTCCTACCCTTCTGATGATGCTTCTACCCATCTGATGGTGCTCCTACCCATCTGATGGTGCTCCTACCCACCTGATGGTGCTCCTACCCATCTGATGGTGCTCCTACCCACCTGATGGTGCTCCTACCCATCTGATGGTGCTTCTACCCATCTGAAGATGCTCCTACCCTTCTGATGATGCTCCTACCCTTCTGATGATGCTTCTACCCATCTGATGATGCTCCTACCCATCTGATGATGCTCCTACCCTTCTGATGGTGCTCCTACCCATCTGATGATGCTCCTATCCTTCTGATGATGCTCCTACCCATCTGATGATGCTCCTACCTCTAGGACCTGGCAGCGCTGGCACTGAGGTAACACAGTCATGCAGAGATGTCAGGGGCTAATAACCCTTACAGTTCTAAAGGTCTCCTTGCTCTGAGAACACACCATCCTTCATCTCCTTTTCCAGAATCCTCCCCCCTACCTACACTCCCCCTCTTTGTATCTCCCAGGACTAGAGGCTGGCTTGCTTTCTCTCTCATGTTTTCTATTGCTCTTTCCCCATATGGACACAGTCTAATTTAAACCAGTAGGAAATAAACTACATAGTGGAGCATGCCTGCAATCCCAGCACTTGGGTGGTAATGCCAAGAGGATCAGGAGTTAAAGGTCATAGTTAATTCAAGGCCAGTTTGGGATTACTTGAGACTTTGTTTCAAAAAAACAATCAAAGAGGAAAAGGAAAGTACCCTACAACATTCCATCCCTCTAGAGGCCTCCCTTCCACAATTCTTAAAATAGCTATCAATGCATGCTACTTCCTTTAATCACTTTCTTCTTATTTATATTAACATGCAATGAAAGCACAGAATATATAAAGATATATGTAGGTGTGTAATAAATGTAGATATATGATTTAAATAATAGAACACCCATTAAAGTCACTAATTGTTCTGAAATGTCTATTTTTTGTTTTCTTATATAAGCAGTCTTCACATGTCACTGGAGCACATGAATTCCTAGATAGGGATCACATGTACTAGCCTCCCTTGTAGCTAGGTGTATTTGATGGTTAATCTACTGTATCATCTTGATTGGATTTGGAATCACATAGGAGACACACCTTGTGTGGGAGGGTGTTCCTAGGGGAATTTAGTGAAGATGAAAGACCCACTCTGAATGTGTAAAGTACCATCCTATGGACTGGGGTCCCAGATTGAATAAAAGGGTGGGGAGGAAGTATACTGAGCACCAGCATTCATCTTTTTGGCTCTGATTATGGATGCAATGAGACTGGCCATGCTATGTTCCTGCTACATGTTCATTACCATGGTGAATGGTATCCCCACAAACTGTGAGCCAAACTGTCATCTTCATTCCTTAAGTTGTTTCCTTTAGGTCACAGCAATGAAAAAAGTAACAGCTACAGCGCAGTATACAGTAAGTCAGGTGACTGGCAGTGCACAAAGGAGAGAAGACCATGGCTCTGGTCACATCCTTCACAACAGAGCTGTTGTCTGGATTGTCCCTCTGTAGGGACAAGACTACAGACAAGAGCAAGGACTGGAGCTGGAGAGGCTCCATGCTGAGTCGTCAGAGCTGCCCTGTCTGTTCTGGAACACTGACCACAGAACACTGAACCATCCTGTAGCTGAAGTAATACAGCTCTCCACACAGATTGAGACACTGGCCACCACCAGGACTTAGAAGATGCAAGTGTCAACCAGTCATACTCCCCTAGAGGTCAGCCTTGCCAGGATTTGCTATTCTTTACCAGTGCCTTCCTCCCAGGACTCCAGGGATGATGTCAGGCTTGCTTGGATGACCTACTCATTTAAAAAATCTTTTTTAGGGGGGCTGGGAGAGGGCTCAGCAGGTAAAGCCTTCGCTGTGCAAGCATGAGGACCCGAGTTCTGGGCCCCAGAACCCATGTAAAGCCAGAGGTGGTCTATAATTCCAGCACTCCTGTGGCATGATGGGAAACAGACAGGAAAGCCCAGAAGCTCTCAGGCCATCTAACCTGGAGTGCGCAGTGGTCAGCAACCACAGACCCTCTGTCAAACAAAGTGGGAGGTGAGAACTAACACCCTGTGTTTCAGTCTGACCTCGACATCTATACCATGGTATATGCATATGTGTGTGAACACGCACACAGATTTTCTTTAAGGCATTTTTTTTTCTAATACTGGGGATTCAACCTATGGCCTCACTCAAGCTAGGCAAGCACTTTACTCTTAAACTACATTCCCAGATGAAGATACTTGGTCGCACGATCAAGTTCCTTCCCTTAAAAGCTAACAAACATCTCCACGTGGAGAATTTGGGGGAACCATTATTTAACCTACCATAACCACATTCCTAACCCTGAAGCACCATTAATAATAATACAGAGCACCCTGCTTATCTGTCCTTATCTGACACCTGACCATCAGCTCCCTAAACTGTACATTCTACAGGATTAAGAACAAGGTCTGTTTTGTTTTGTCTTCTTCTTCATTACTAGATCCATGGTCTCTAGGAAGTGCTCAGCGAATTCATGGAAAAAGTGCTCACTGCACCGACATGAGAACCAGAGTTTGGATGCCCAGAATCCATGTAAAAAGCTAGACATGATGGCTTGCTTCTCCAATGCCAGCAATGGGGAGATGGAAAAAGAGTCTCGCTGGCCAGTTAATCTGGCAGAATCAGTGAGAGACTCTGCCTCAGAAAAGTAAGGCGGAGCAAGATAGAGGAAGATGCCCGATGCTGACCCTTACCTCCACACACTCAGGCACCCATTCGTCTCACCCCCCATCACATACACACATGTATATACCACATATATATATACACCAAAATATAACAAATAAGCCAAATACGCATTGAATGAAGAGATGGACCATCATCCAACTGCTAGAAGCAATAATTATGAAGGAAAAGTGACAATATGCCATACGGAAACCTTTTCTTTTAGCTTTCATTATTGTTTTCACTCTGTGTGATAAATAAAAACCAGCAGGTGGGCAAGAGAGATGGCTCAGCCGTTAAGAGTGCCTGCTGTTCTTCCAGAGGATGGGAGCTCAGTTCCAAGCACCCATATCTGGCTGCTCACAACCCCCTGCATCTCTAGCTCCAGGGGATCCAATGCCTTCTTCTGGTCTCTGTAGGTACTGCACTCATGTGCACTTATCCACACAGACATAAATAAAAATAAAAATAAATCTTTAAGACAGGCAAAATTGAAACATTATATTTTAAAATCAAAGCAAGAGGGAGAAAAGGTGAATTTCACGAACTCAGAAAGAACTTGAGAAAACCCTTTACAAGCTGATAACTGACTTAGTATCCAGGAGCTGAAGCTGGTGGTTGCTGTCTCTGTGGGACATCTTCAGTTTGGTACTCTGCTCTGAAATGGACAAGTCCACTCTGCTCAAAAGCTGAGAAATCTGGAAAAGAAGATTGGATTATAAAGATCTCACATCATGTCTTCAGGGACCATTTCAGAAGACATGCCCTATGCTCTATGCTGGCCAATGGCATTAAAAGTCACTTTACTAAGTTCATTTCACCTCCTCTTTCCGTGTATGTGTGTGTGTGTGTGTGCGCGTGTGCGCGCGCACACACATGTACTTGTGGAGGCCAGGGGTCAACAGGAGTTGTCTTTCTCAATCATTCTCACTTTATCTTTTGATGCAGGGTCTCTCACTGAACATGGAGCTCTCCTATTGGCTATCTTTTGATGCAGGGTCTCTCACTGAACATGGAGCTCTCCTATTGGCTATCTTTTGATGCAGGGTCTCTCACTGAATAAGGAGCTCTCCTATTGGCTAGAATGGCTGGCCAGTAAGTTCTAGGGATCACCTGTTCTGGGTGTACCACAGTGGCGAGGTTTTTTAAAACATTTTTTAAAGATTATTTATGTGTATGAGTTTTTGCCTGAATGTATGTACTCCAAATGTATGTCTTGTGCCTGAGGAGGTCAGAAGAGTGTGTCAGATTCCCTAGGACTGGAGTTACAATTGTGAGGTCCTATGTGGGTACTGGGAACTGAGCTCAGGTCCTCTGGAAGAACAAGTGCTCTTAACTGCTGCGCCATCTCTCTAGCCCCCGCAGTGCCCAGCTTTTAGGTGGGTGCTGCAAACCCAAACGGAGGTCCTTTGGCTTGTGCTCATGGACACTTTAACTATGACACTATCTCCCAAGGACACTTTAACTATGACACCATCTACCTCGTCACTGTCTTTGTCTTTCATGCACACCCAGCAAAACTCAAAATAGGGAGTACCATTAGAATATACATCATGCGATGAGTGCTAAACTCCACAGCTCTCTAATGGGCAAGCCCAACTCCTGCCCAGGGCGGGCACCTCTACCAGCAGCAGTACAGTCATCGTTACCTTGCAATTCCACCAGCACCGTGGCTGCCAGTCACGGAGGGTGTGATTTTTATGGCTTACAAATGCATCAAGGTTCCAGATGGACCTCCTTGTCGAGGGAAGCCCCGGAGAACAGACTGTGTGAGCTATATCCCTCTACTCCTTTCTCCATTATCTACTTGTGGTCTTGGTGCTTATTTGGGTTTTGTTTACACTACAATTTAATGTTAAACTAGTCCTGTATGAAATGATCACATTTTCCAAACGTTAAATGGTGTTCAACATTCCTTATTTAAAGAGTCATGCTATTTGTAAGATCTGGATCGATAACAACAACAATAACAACAACAAACAACAATGCCTCTTTCGATGGACCTCTGTGTTGTGCTCGCCTTGGCTGCCAGAAAGCAATTCTTCTGGTGTAATAATCTTGTTCTCGCCCACCCACCTCCATCCTACCCCTCCCCACTCACCCCCACCCTCCCCACTCTGGTACTAGGAACTGAACCTCGAGCTTTGTAAATACTAGGCAAACACTCAGTCTTAGCCTTGTCTTTAAATGTTTTTAATGTTTATTTCCTTTGCGTGTGTGTGTGTAGATGTGTACACATTATAGCTCATGTGTGGAGGTCTGAGAACCACTTGTAGGAGACAGTTCTGTCCTTCCATCACGTGAGTTCCAGAGCTTGGGATCCAGTCATCAGGCTTGGTGGCGAGGACCTCAACCCACTGGGGCATCTGTCTTTCCTTTTTATTTTGAGATACTTAGATTGCTCAGGTTGGTCTAACTCATACTTTAGTTCATAGATGACTTGATTGTGGGATCCTCCTACCTCAGACTCTAGACTATCTGGGATCGTAGACCTGTGCTGTAAAGCAAGCCCTGTTCATCTTAAAAAACAAAACAAAAAACCACCACCACAACAAAAGGCCTGCCTGCCTTTCAAAGTCTTATAATGACCTTGGGGTTATTTTGTGTTTTCTGTTTTTTAACATAAGTAGCTTTGGTACCTTGCTGAAGAGAGGTGAAGTTAAGGGGTATTTTTTATCTAGTAAATTACCCAGATGCCTCTGTTTTTCTAGACTAGCCTCTGGTTATGTAAAGAATAGTAAATGAGGCAGATGCTGTGGGAAAGTCCTTAGAAGTTTGCACTGTTACAACAAAAGGAAGCTTGTAAGTAACAAAAGTCAACGGACCACCAAAATCTGACAAAGTTGGGGCTGGAGAGATGGCTCAGTAATTAAGAACACATATTCCTCAGAGGTCAATCCCCAGGACGCACGTCAGATATCTTACAGCTACCTATAATCCAGCTCCAGGGAAATCCAAGCTCTCTGACCTCCGGGGGAACCTGCAATCACGTACACACACACACACACACACACACACACACACACATACACACACAAACGGGTGAAATGCTGAGAGTTTTGCCTTGTGGAGGAAATTATAAATTTCAAGGTAAAATACCCTAAGATTCCCTTTCCAGCTTACTTTCTAACTTTGACCTGAGACCGCATAATGAGTCAGCACACACAATGAGTCCCATTGCACGTAAAGAAAGTCTGTAAAGAACGTCTGGGGTATATGAGTTGTTTTATGAATAAGGGGGAAAAAAATTTAAATTGGCACTGTACCAAAATCTTTCTGCGATCTGGCTGCCAGATTCATGAAGGGCCACGCCAGCAAGACAAAGGGAAGGAAGACAGAAAGAGCTGGTGATTTGCATAAACCCACACGGGGGACTTGGGCTGGCTGCTCTGGCAACAACCAAGCAGCACCCTGTTCTTAGCTGAGAACAAACTCCCTGCTTCTTCTCTCTTCTTCGGTCCCAGCCGTACCTGTCCTTCTGCGTCTTTGATTTTTGTTTCCAGAACCAGTTTGGCTGCTTGCTGCTCCTTGTTCAGGTGCTGGAGGCTCTCGTAGGTCGTCTTGTGCTCTGCCGAGAGTCTGGCTATGCTGGCGTCGCACCTATCCGGGCAAACAACACACACCCGTTAAAGTTTAAAAGCATGTGAAGTAGCTGCCTTGCTGTTTCATCCTGTAACATGCACTGTGAGATGCAAGGCCTCCTCAGAAACTGCGCTACTGGGCTGTGGAGAAGCCTCAGACAGTAAAGCAAGAGGAACCGTCTGATCCTCAGGATGTCAGATGGGGGCTGGAGAGACAGCTCTGTGGTTAAGCGTGCAGACTGCTCCTGCAGAAGACCCAGGCTCAGTCCCCAACATCCATGTCGGGAAGCTCACCACCGTCTACAACTCCAGCTCCAGGAGATCCAGTACTCGGGCCTCAACAGGTACCTGAGCTCACATGCACACCTACACAAAATTAAAAGTAATAATTTTTTTTAAGCCAGGTGAGACAGTGTGCACTTGTAAACACAGCAGTGGGGAGGCAGAGATGGGTGGACCTCTTGGGCTCTGCCAATCTAACTTACTAGGTAAGCCAAGGCCAGCAAGGGATCCTGGTGTTTTGTTGAAAGTGGCTAGTGAGATGACTCAGAGGAAAGAGGGATGTGTGTCCAGACACAAGAGCCTGCATTCAATCCCTGGGTCCCACAAAGTGGAAGGAGAGAACCAACCCCCAAGAGTCGTCCTCTTACTCCCTTCCACACTGGCACCATGGTGCGGACCCCAAAATACACTTGTGTGCGCATGTGCACACACGCAGTTTGGGGCCAGCAGGATGAATCTGTGGGTAAAATGCTTACTGTGCAAGTCTAATGATCTAAGTTCAATCTGCAGAACCCACAGAGTGGAAGGAGAGAACTGATTCCTCTCTCTCTCTCTCTCTTGTACACACGCACACATACACACACACTCACACAAAGTTTAAAAACAAAAACAAAAGCAAAAGGCGATGGCTCCGGAGAGTAAAGCCTGGTGCACACACAATGACGAGTGAGGGAAGTGGGCAGGGGGAAGGGAAGGGAGGAGGAAGGAACTCAAGTGTCCCTACCCACAATGATTTCCAAGTCTGATGCCAAGAGAACCTGGTAAGGGATAGAATGGACTTCTAACTAATGATGTTTAAAGATAACTAATCATGCAAAAGAATGAAGCTGGAGCCCTACCTCACACTATGTGTGAGAGGCTGCCTCGGGGCTGGAGAGATGGATCAGTGGTCAGGAACACTTCCAGACAACTGGAGATCGGTTCCCAGCACCCACATAGGGCTGTATACCCCCCAGCTCCAGGGGACCTGTCACCCTTTTCTGGTCTCCATGGGCACTGTACACACATGATACACACATGTATGCGAGCAAAACACTCATATACATACATAAAATAAAAATAAATAAATCTTTAAAAGATGTAAACATACAAGGCTTCCATAAACAATATTATCAGCCGCATTATTTATAGTAGACAAAAAGTAGAAACAGCACACTCACTCAGTTTATAAAGAAACAAAACATGGTGTCTCTTAGCCACAGAAAGCAATGATATACCCACACACCTTACACAGGTGGACCCTGAAAACACTATGCGAAGTGTAAGGAGCTGCTCTTAAAGAACCGTGTGTTAAGGATGAGTCCACTTAAAGGAAACATCCAGAGAGATAGAATTTTCTGGTTGCCATGGATAGGGGTTGAGAGAGCAGATAAGGGAGAGACTGCAAACGCCATGGATTTCTTACTGGATTGTTCAGATGTTCCAAGGTTAATTGTGATGGCTACACAGGGGGCACTCCAAAGCCCATTGAACTGCATGCTCTAAAGCTTTGTTTTTAAATTCTGTGTGTGTGTGTGTGTGTGTGTGTGTGTGTGTGCATGCGTGCATGTGTGTGTGCCCACGTGAGTGTAGTTCCTGTAGAGTTTGGAAGAAGGCATCAGGTCCCCTGGAGCTGGAGTTACAGGCAGCTGTGAGTCACTTGACTCGGATCCTGGGACATGAACTTGGGTCCTTTGAAAGAGCAGCAAACACTTTAAAACATCTCTCCAGCTGTTCTGCCCCATTGCTGCTTATGTGTTAATTATATCATAAAAACTCTATAAATAAAATTATCAGAAAATTATATATAATAAATTAAAGACTAAAATATAAAATTATATATCAAAAATAAAGAACAATAGAAAGACAGAGGAAGGGAGGGAGGAAGAAGAGAGGGAGAGAAAGTGAGAGCGAGAGGAGGGGGTGGAGTGTGCCGTGTGTTCCCGTATTTCCCACTCTGATTCCCAATCGCAGGTTTTGGGAACACATGGGTATTTTTCCTCTATCACTCTGCCACTAGACATACCCCACAGCCTATCAGAGAAGAAAGAGGAAGTGACCACTGAGTTTTGGGGAAATACAGACAACGTGCCAAACACAGGACCAAACGTTCCAGTAGGAATTGGGAAGCTAAAAGGGAGATTTTCTTCAAGAAAAAAATGGAAAAGTCTCCTGCCACATCCTACGTAAAGAGCACTGTGCTGAGCAGAATGAGTGTCCCTCCCCTTCAAGAAGAACCTGCCTAACCTAGATCGACGAGTGAGAAGCGAGGACCTGTTTGCTGTTAACTCGATTACTAATAAATCCACAAAAACTACACATTCAAAAAGGAAATGACATGCCAGCCTAGTCATTTAGTAATGCCACTTTGAAAGCTAGACTTCTGCAACACAATTATGTAATCAATGCACGAAAGTCGAAATCTTGCCAAAGAGCTTTTATCTCACATGAATTCATCTCAGCAAGGTCTCATTAGCTTTCCGAGAGACAGATATAGCCACCAAACAAATCTAAAATATCTGGTGCTTCTAACAAACACTTCGGGTGGGCTTGGAACCGAGGTGTTTGTTAACAGGGAGGAGCAAGCTGGGTGGAGAAGCTGAGGAAACACTGAAGCGAAATGGAAGATTCCTGAAGGTATTTCCCGAGAATTCTATGTCTGGGTACAATGTCAGAAAGATGACGTCAGTTTCCACGGTCGGCTGAGGTGCGGAGAGTGGCCTTTTGTGGCACTCTCCTTCCCTCCCTGCTGCCTCAGTCTCCACCTGCACCCATGGTGGTGTGGTGGCTAACTTAGTTATCACCTTGACTGGACACACCTGTGTGGGGTTTACCTGATCAGGTGATTAGAGGTGAGAAGACTCTCCCCCACCCCCACAAGTGTGGGGCACCTTCCGGAGGCAGCCCCGATGAAAGGAGGGCTGAGGGGAAGCTGTGCTTTTTGCCTTCTTGCCTTTGCGTCTTACTAGCGAGGTCATCTGCCCTCTTGCTGCTGCTGCTGCAGCCGCCTCTCCCACTGACATCACACTTGGGCTTCTTCGGGTTTCCAACATGGACAGAAGACCAGTGGCTCTCCTGGAATCCTCCAGACCTTCAGCACTGGAGTGAGGCTGCTGAGACATCCAGCCTCTCAGGTTAAGAGGCTACCAGGTGCTCAGCCCTTCCTGCATGGAGACGACCATTATCTAACTGTCAGGCTATACTGTATAAACCAATCTAATCAACACACACACACACACACACACACACACACACACACACACACACACCTGCTCCACCTCGTGGCTCTCAAGTCCTCCCAAGGCCCTGCTGTTCTCTGAGTTTGGGGTCTTTTAAAAGCCAAACAAAAACAAGGACTCCACAGACAAGAACTCGGGATCTTTTCAGTCCTACTCCGGCAATTTTTCTAGCTCAATCATTCACCCAACGTGCATTTATTCAGGCTCCAGGCACCTGACTCTGGACGTGAACGACACAGAGCCCCTCTCTAAGACAGTAAGGAAGACAACAGAGTGACCCGATGGAGCTTAAGTGGAGGGGGTGCTCTGCAGAGTCAGGGTGTCAGGAAAGACTCCAGAGGAGAAGACATTTGCACTACTCTTTGAGGTGGATGAGGAGAAGAGGAAGAGGAAAGGTACTCAGTATGGCAACAGCACGTGCCAAGGCCCAGAGGTAGGAGAACGGGCTTCTTTAGAGATTGACAAAGGATGGGGCGTGGCTAAAGGTGCAAGACAAGGGTAGGGAGAGGTGAGGCGATCAGAGGTGCCCACCACCAAGAGTCAGACTTCAGAAACTACAGTTGGGTTCATCCTGCTGCGAACAACAAATGACAGACAGGCCAGGCATGGTGGTACACCTTCTATCCCAGCACTCAGGAGACTGAGGCAGGACAAGACACAAAGCCTGTTGGAGCTACAGAACAAGACCCCATTCAACTGCCAATAAAGAAAAAGAAGGGGCTGGAGAGGTGGCACAGCGCGGCGCCTACGAGTGCTCACTGCTCTTGTAGAGAAGCTGGGTTCCCTCCCTGGCACTCACACTGTGGCTTACAACCTCCTGTACCTTCAGTTCCAGAGGAGCTGATGTCTTCTCACGTCCACAGGCTCTCGCATGCACATGGTGCAAATAAACACTCAGGCACACAAGTGCACATTAAATAAAGACAAAACAGAAAGAACAGTAACAAAGAGCCACCGTAGAGTGGTCACTGCCTCCATCGTCCTGTCCTCACAACCCTCCTCCAACCATTAACCGACCTTTAATCAACAGCTGCCAGCACATATACCCAACATACAAGGCACTAGGTATCTGCACAAGTGCACCTTAACGTGGCTCTCTCTGCTCTGAAGATGCCCTGGACTCTGGGTCTCCTGTCCTTAGGTCCCATGCTCACCTGTGCTCCTTGTCAGCCCAAGCTGGCTAGAAATGCTTCTTTGCTCCAAATCCCCATCATTAGCTACATACTTGTACTTGACTCTCGGTAGCAGAAGAGGGCAGAAGAGGCTCACACATAGGCTCACAATTTCATCCCACCCAGCTAAAATAAACATAATCCGGACGACAGGCCTCTTGCAGCAATTCTTAAACATCGGTGCACCCAGAAGCCAGGGATCTCATTAGAAACAGGCTCCATTCAGCAGCAGTGGGCTGTGACAACCGCGGACAGTGCTAGCAAGGTCCCGGGGAAGAACCAGGAAAATGGTTCAACGGGCAAAAGCACGTGCTGCTAGCCTAAGACTTGGACTCCCCGGGACACGTGTGGTGGAAGGAGAGCATCGACTTCTGCAATTATCCTCTAATCTCCACACGTGTGCCACAGTACACACACTTTGTAGATGCTCACAGGCAAATACGTGAGTGCAACTGTCAATAAAATACATTTTTAAAAATCGCAAGAAATACTCCGTCTCTCGGTCCGTGGAACACCTCCAAGTAAAGAGAAAATCACTTTCCACGTTGACGGAAAAACACACTTCTTAAAATTTCCAGCCTATGAAATTCAATACTTGCAGGAAATAGAACAAAAATAATTATAACAAAGATGAACATTTTAGAAGGCATGTATTATTTGATTCAATGACCAGACGTGACAAATGACAATGACCAAATGACATCAGCCAGCAGAGGGCGCTCTCTGATCATTTCCTCCCAGGAAGACCTGGCCAGCTTCAGGAACTCTGTGTGTGTGTGTGTGTGTGTGTGTGTGTGTGTGTGTGTGTGTGTGTGTGTGTGTGT